CTGCTCCTTTGGGGGAGTCAAGTGTGAGCTTTAAACTATCTGTGATGGTGTACCTGTCTAGACAGCAGCTGAGCCCCCACGCCATTTCTCTGAGCCTCCACAGTCCTACCCCAGCCAGGCCATCCAGGGATCCCTCCTCCACTGCCTTGGGAAGGGAAGCCATAGAACAAAAGGAAAGGGGTCACCCTTAGCCTTTAAATCTCAAATAGGCTTCTGAAACTCTCAACAGAGATGACAGATTGAGACAAACTTCTTGAGTCGCAAAGCCTGACTGCAAGATCGCGAGGGGCCCTCTCCAGTCCTCATTGGCCACCCCCAACGCTTTTTATAGTGCAGAGAAGGTGGAGGAGAGTTGGTATGGTAAATTCTTCACCTGTATATGCCTCAGTTTTCCCATCTGTAAAGTGGGGACAATAGCACCTACTTCATGGCATGTTGGGAGGATTGAGTTAGAACAGGGCACACACATAGTAAATACTCAATAAATGTTTTGTCATCCTTATCACGGAGGAATGGTATGTCTGAGACAGTGTCCTGAGCCCCCTGCAGCCTCTTTATGGGGAAGACACCACCCAAGTTTCCCAAGTCCCAGAGAGATGCAGAAGCGCAGCACATCTCCGCATAAGCCAGCAGGGACATACAATGACGGGGGACCAGAGAACTACTCCACCTCAATGGCTGGACACTCCGTAGACCTCAGAACTCAGAGGTGCTGGAAATAAAGGAGAAAACCCTCACTGAGCAGGATACCCCTGAAATGGCTAAAACTAAAATTCTACCATCAGCCAACCTAAGAAGTCAATGTTTTGCACTCCTTGAACGTCAGTGCCAGCAGCAAGTCCATCTCCAGCAGGAAACGCCTGCTTACTGCTTCCGCCGCCTCTCTTTCTCCAGGGCTGGCATCCCGCCTGCTCTCTGGACAAGGATTGAAATCTGCCCCTCAAATGGTGCTGAGTCTGGTGGGAGTGAAGACTGAAGTCAGCCTCTTCCTGGGGGCTCTTGGCACGCTGGCCCCCGAGATAAAGACAATCAGGCCCAGCCTGAACATCTGGGCACTTGCATCTCTTGCTGGGCCCCCTCGCAGCCCCTCCTCATTTCCTTGCTGTCTTCTCCCCTTTCCTCCCCTTTCCTGTCTGCCTTCCTTGGGGCCCTCCCTCAAGATGCAATTCTTCACCTCATACTTGCAACGGACTCCAGCCCTGGTGCTCAGCACAGCTTGGCAGGGCCGGGAAGCTCCATTCCAGTACAATCACGTGGCATGGCTGGCTGGCTCCTCGCCCCTGAGGCCTTGCAGCACTGCCCACTGGGCCAGGCCAGCTCTGCCAGGACACCTGGGAGGAGGCCATCTCTGGTGTGACAAGAAAAGATTGGGACAACACTGTTCCCAGGAAAGCTGCCCCTTTCTCCCATTCATTCATGGATTCAGTGAGTGTCCAGGTGGCCAGAGCCAGGCCAGCTCAGCCCTTCAAGTGGAGACAGGCTCAGTGCCTGGTGTGTGGTGCCTTTTGCCCAGGCTCACCAGGATGGGCCTCAGGGCATCTGCCGCCCAGCAGACTCTGGCATGTAGAGGAGCTGCTTCATGTTTATGAATTGAAATGAGCAGAAAGAAAGGAGGCTTTGCCACGGGCTCTAGCAGAACCAGCACTGTGCCTCCCTCCTGCCCCTTCAGAGAACTACAGCATGTCCCCTTAGCCACCACTGGGCAGGCAGGAGCCCCCAGCAGGAGACTTAGGACAAGGTCCACTGGGAGCCCTCAGGTGCCCATGAAGTTGTCTGAAATGCTTACAGGTGGGTACAGGGCTCTAGCAAGACTCCAGCCACCTGAGGAAAACAGAGGTGAGGACAGTGGACACTCACCTGCCACTGCCCCCAGGCAGCACCGGGCACCTGGGTCCTCATTCCCTCAGCTGTTCCTCCCACCCTTCAAGCCCATGGCCTTCACCCCTCTGCCTTCTCTCCCAGGCACGCATCCGAGGAGGCCTCTCCCCCAGAGGGGCTTCCAGAAGCCTGGCCAAGTAACCCTGCAGTCATGGCCAATGGCAGGGCACTAAACTCACTAAGGGAGCTGCTCTGGCCACAGGTTTGGAGAGCCAGTCACTTCAGGGTGATGGGGATTCCACAATGACCTCCCACAGGACTGGGGCTTTCTCCCCTGAGGGACCAGGCCTCCTCTACTCTGCTGCTGCAGGTGCAGAGAGGACAGCTGGAGAGGGTCCTCCGGGCTTCCCTGGACTCAGGAAAGCAGCTCTCAAGCTCTCCCTAGGCCTTCCTATCTTAGGAAACGGTCCACTCTGCAGTCCAGGTGGAAAGTGTGGACCGTTTCCTGACTCCTGCTGCCGATTTGCTGCATGTCTGGCCCCAGCAAGTGTGTCCACGATCCCTTCAGACAAATCCAGCCTTCCTGCGTGCTTATGTTTTCATAAAGAAACACTGGAAAGAGACACAGAAAACTAACAGGAAGGGAGGACACAGGCTGGATGGGGATGGGGTAGGAGACTGTTCAGCATGTGTCTTTCACATCATTTAGGTTTGGAACCATGTGACTACTGCATATTCAGAAAAGTAGAAACATTCAAAAATTATGAACAGGGCAAAACACACACACATGCACGCACGCACACACTCTGAATCTGACCCCTGCTGCAACACACACACGCATATTCAGAAAAGTAGAAACATTCAAAAATTATGAACAGGGCAAAACACACACACATGCATGCACGCACACACTCTGAATCTGACCCCTGCTGCAACACACACACACACACACACACACACTCTGAATCTGACCCCTGCTGCAACACACACACACACACACACACACAATCTGACCCCTGCTGCAGTCCTGATCCAAACGAACCACTATCTTCTGGGGCATGAATTATGACAAGAGCTTCCTCCTGCTCTTCCTGCTTTCACTCCCCGTTTCCCATCCATTGTCTATTTCCCACATCCCAGCCAGAGCCGATCTTGTTAAAAGGTCAGATTAGCCATTCCCACTGACTTCCCACTAAGCTTAAAATAATGTCCACACTCCATCTCCGCCTTCAAGGCCCTGACCCCACCCTCCTTGCTCCAGCCAGCCTAGCCTCCCTGCCGCTTCTCTAAAGCACCAGGGAGCACCCAGCCCCTGACCCAGATACCTGCATCGCCCACTCCACACCTCCTTCAAGCTCTAGTGCTCTCCCTCCCCCTGGTGAGACCCTCGCCAACCACGCAGTCCAGACTCGCACCCCCTCCCCTCGGCCTGCTCCACTCCTCGCAGCACTTAGCACTAGACCACGTTAACCGTCCTTGTTGGCACAGCCTTCTCTTTGTTTGTGGCAGCTCGAGTATCCGTTGAATGAGGGCGCAGATGAGTGAAGGTCCTGCCGTCCACTCCCCTGCCTTGGGTGGTTTCAGAGCCCAAGCTCCCCAAGGACAACTGTGAGCTTTTAGAAGGCAGTGGAGCTCCCACCCAGGGCAGGCCTAGGCATGTCCAATGCTCCCCTAGGAGTGAGAGCCAAGAAATAACAGTAACAGCTGGCACTTATGGGGCACTTACTGCATGAGCTCAAAGGCACAGTTCTAAGTGCTTTGCATGGATGTCTCCCATAATCTTCAAATATTCTTAAAACAACCCAGGAGGTGGTCCTGTTCTCTCCACTTTACACACGTGGAAAGGCGAGCTAAGTTGCAACCCGAGTTCCCATGGCTGTTGGGCAGGGAGCGGCCTGGTTCCTGAGTTCTCACCCATGCTGGAGTCCCCAGGAAGAGCAAAGGATGACCAGGTGCAGCAAGTGAGCTCTCAAAGAGACAGGAATAAGGGTGTCCCCGAGGGGCCCAGAGATAGAAGCAAAATGACAGGCCGCAGAAAGAACACGAGATGCAAGCTCCAAAAATGACATTCATCCCTAAAGGGACACAACAGGACAAGGCAGGAACCCTTATCTCTCAAAGCCTCTTAAAGGTGTTTTATTTGTTTGCTTTTCTTTTCTCCTTTTTTTTAAAACAATAATGGCACATTTAAAAAATCAAGAACTACAAAAAAGGGACCATGTCATCAAGTCCATGTTCACATTGTGCCATGCCGTGGCACCAGGACTGGCCACACACTCCATCTTGGATTCAGCCTCTGGGGAAGGCGCTGGGTCAGCTTCCACGCCAGTGGCCCACTAGGCCACTCTGGGGACGTGCGCGCTGTTCCCCTGGGCCCCACTAGAGGGTAGGCTCCTGCTGCTCCAGGGTCCCAGGACTCTGGCAACCCCCTCCTATCTCCAAACTACATCCAGGAGCTGGAGACGTTAGGGAACTTATTTTGGTCCCCACAGGGGACTCTTTCGGGGACAGAGCCCTCCCCTGACCTGCAGGAGACAACACCCCAGCCCAGCCCAACTGCACCTTGGGGTGTCTCTCCTCAGTCTTGTCTCCAACCCAGCAGACACCACACTAGCACCCTGCTTCTCAGGCCCAACCCACCCAGGCCCCTCTCATGCCACGGTCCGTGGCCACCCCAGCAGGGACAAGAGGGACGGATGCTCGGACCCTTCAGCTGACCCCCACCAACAGCAAGAGGGCTCCCCAAGCCCTAGGACCCTGGCTCAGAAGGAAGGGCTGGTGAGAAGCAGGGAGAGGGACAGGGTGAGCAGTGCAGAGCTGAGGTTCCTGGGTGTGAAGAAAGAAGTGACAGAGCGCTGCCGGAGGGGACGGGGGAGGCTCCTCAGACCTGCAGATGAGAAGGGGATGCTGGGCACGTGTCAACAGGACCTTGGCTGGGGGGTCTGGGGACAAAGAGGCAGAGAGACGCTCCCGTTCCCCCTCCCATCCTGCCTCTGGTTACCATGGGGGTGCAGGCCCAGGTGACAAGACTTCAGTGTCCCCAGAAAGGGAAATGCCACGCTGCACTCAACCGGCCTCAGCCTGGCACCTCATGGGAAGTGGGACCCCACCAGTCCAGGCCCTGCCCAGCCCCAGCTCCCAACAGCGACACCCAAGGGCCCCCCCCCCCGTAGGCCAGCTGGACTGGTAGCTGGTGGGAGGCCCAGCTGACCCGCCCCCGGCCCTGCCCATGCCCTTGGCTCTAGTCCTGCTGCTCGTTCATTTCCATGTCAGACACCAGGATGTTCTTCTCAGTGACCTCGCCGGGGCCCGAGCTGCTGCGGCTGTAGCGGGCGCCCTCGAAGGCCCCACGCTCAACGTTCTGTCGCCTCCGATAGATGATGATGGCCGCAGTCAGCAGGGCCAGGAGCAGCAGCACTGCCATCAGCACTACCACCAGGGCCGCCGGGTTGTCTGGGAGGGCTGTGGGGGGCATGGGCGTCAGGGGGGGCAGCCCTGCCCGCCCTGCCACCCCGTCAGCCCTGCCTGCCAGGGGAGGCCTCGTGGCAGCACCGCCTCAACTCACCTGACGGGGAGAAGCTGCTCTCCTCGGCTGCAGGCAAGAGGGAGGAGGCAGTTAAAAGCAGTAGTAATAACAACATAAGGAAACACGCAAAGCACTGCCTGATGTCGGACACTTGACTAACCTGCTGCTTCTTCACTATGACTCCGAGGTAGGTACTGTTATTACTCCCATTTTACATATGAGGAAACTGAGGCCACAGAGTTTAAGGAACTTGCCCCAGGTCACAGAGTCGGTTAGTGATGTGGCCAGGGCTTGAACCCCCTCCTTGCCCTTAACCACTACAAACTGACAGGGTGTGCGGACCTCTGGGCCCAGCTGTCGAGTGTGGAAGATAAGTCCCAGGGCCAGTCCTTCCTACAGACTCATCTATCCCGGGGGAGGGTCCCAGTTGGCCCCTGTCTGGTCTGTTCATGCCCCTCCCACCCACCGAGTCCCTGCCCCACCCCAGACCCAGCTACGCGGGGAGTGAGGAGGCTGGGCGTGTGCCTGCTGGGCGCGCACCGCGAGGGAGCTTGCAGACGACGCCCATGGTGATGTTGGTGCAGGCGCCGGGGCGCCACAGCCCGCTGCTGCTCTGGATCCAGTAGCAGCTGTTGTGGCTCAGCATGCTGGGGCCCAGGCCCGGGGGCCCCCAGTTGGAGTAGTTCACAGCTGTGTTGTCCTGCCAGACCAGGGTGCCTCCTGTGGGAAAGAAGGCGCGGAGGGGGCGTGGGGGGGGGGCGGCCAGCTGCAGCAGGGTCAGGAGGGAGAGGGCGGCCTGCTCTAGACCCCATTCCCCCTCCCCCGGCCCCGCCCTCGCCAAGCCCTGGTGCACGGCTCAGGGCACAGAGTGGAGGGCATGTCCCCGACAGCCCGAGGCCTGACCCTCTCCACCCCACACACAGCATACCCACCTTTGGGGCTGAAGTTCATGCCCAGCCAGGCGCCCCGACTCTGGCCCTCGGAGCTCTGCAGGTGCTCCCACACAAACACGTTCTCCATCTCATCCAGAATGGACAGGACCGCCCCACCCGCTGGACACAGGGAGGCCCACGTCAGGGCAAACAGGCCCCCGTGAGGTGGCGGAGCCCCCCAGAACCACCCCAGCTCTCCTCTCCCGCAGCCTCCGTGCGCGCATGCGCATGTGTGTGGCAGGGCCATCACACGCAAGGCCACATACGGCCCCTGTGATCAGACTTCTGTGTAGGTGCTGCCTCTGGGGACAGTGCAGCGAGGAGACTGCATTCACGGGTCTGTGAGTGTGCATGAGAGCAGGGCACCACTGCGGTGTCCCCTGGCTCCGCCCGCCCGCACGCACCTCTCTGGCAGCGCTGCAGCGCCTCCTTGTGGCCCAGCAGCAGCTCCATGTGGAAGGAGTAACAGTGCTCCCGGAAGGGAATCCAGGCTGAGTCCACCAGCCCCTGGGGACAGCTGCCATGGTAGCTTATTCTTCGGGGAGGAGGAGGTCCTGTGGGGGTGCAAGACTGAGGAAGTGGCCCAAGGTCCTCCCAGGCACACCGACACCTTGCCCACACCTGGCCCCAGTGGGTGGGCATACTCACCACTGTTAATCCCACACACAGCCCCCTGCAGCTTGGTGCTGCAGCTGGTGGTGCGCCAGGCCCCGTCCACGTCCACGTAGGCACAGCCTCCTGACTGCTGGGGTTCACCGTCCGGCCAGCTCACATAGCTCAGCGGCTCCTCAGAGACCCAGGAGTACCGCCGGGAGCCCTGGGCACCAGGAGGCCATGAGGATGGAAGAGGGAAAGTCAAGGTGGGCGGGCAGATAAGGTAGGGGGGTAGGAAGGGAAAGGGAGAGAAACCAGGGCAGTGGGTGGGGCGGGGGCAACAGCGGGGCCAGCGCCGGTGCCAGGACAAGAGGGCCGGGTGCCCACCTCCTCACTGGCCAGCCCGATCCAGAGCGGCGTGCGCAGCCCTCGGGCAGCCTGCGTGAGGAAGGCCTGGGTGTAGGGGTCAGGCACGCGGGCCAGGCTGGCGTTGCGGCTCTCGCACAGCAGGAGGGCGTCGTGCCAGCGCAGCGGCTTCTGCAGCAGCCGGAAGGTGCCGTTGAGGTAGGAGAGCTCAGTGCCCGGGGCAGGGGGCGACGCTGCTGGGGATGGGCTCAGGGAGGGGTCTATGGGGAAGGGGGCAGGGCTCAGGCCAGGCTCTGCCTCCCTCACCCCAATTCCAGGCATGAGGCCCTGGGAACGCCCGACATCAGGCAAAGACCAGGTCTCCACAGGTACCGTGCTTGGCACAGATTCACACTATGTGTTAGCCACTGTTGTTATTAATAATATACGCTTGCTAAGAAACAGAGGAGGAAGCTAGAGCCTTGACCTATGCCCACCCGAGGAACTCAGAGCAGAGGGAACCCATGCCTGGAGCTGGAGGTACCTCAGGGTCCCTGACACCACACATGCCAGCACTTCTTGCAACCCAGTGTCCAGCTCTCCCGGGTTAGCCTGCTGTACCCACTCAGTGCTCACTGCCTTTCCATCTTAGTGGCACCTTGCCTTTCTGCCCGTTTGCTTCCTAAGCAGATACGTGACTGTAGGGGTGACCCCAAGGGCCTCCTGACTCAGGGACCATGTTTCATTACCCCTGGCACGGCCCATGACCTCTAGCCCAATGCCAGGGCCTGGCTAGGGTTTCACTGGCAACACGTACCCGTGCCCTTCTGGCAGATGAAGCCATGTGTCTCCTCCGTGCAGCTCCGATCGTCCCAGCGACCAGTGAGGTGGGCTGAGGGGCTGTGCAGGACCACCGCACAGCTGGTCTGGGGGGAAGGAGCTGCTCAGGGGAGCCTCAGCAGCTGCCCCCTTGTATTGCCACTGCCCCCAAATGGCTGCAATGTGAGCAGAGAGGCTGGAAGGGGGGAGACCCGGGGAGCAAAGGCAGCCCAGCAGGCTGGGGCAGTGGGAGCAGAGCAGAGTGGAGAGCACGTGCTCACCGGTGTGTTGCCGCTGGGAGCAGGGCTGGGGCCAGAGGGCTCCCCAGGTGCCCAGTTGGCATACAGAAGAGGCTCCTGCTCCACCCACTGGAAGTCCCTCTGCGAGGCGTGGAGGCCAATCCAAAGGTCAAAGGTCACACCGGGCAGGCTGGCTGTGATGAATGCTACAGTCCCCCAGAAGAGAGAGAGTTGTGAACAACAGGTAGCCCCTGCTTACGCTGCTCTAGCCATCCAAGGGGACTGTGTCAGAGGACATTAGCCTCCCCATGGGTTGGCCCTACCTTGGTCTAAGGGGTTTGCAATTGTGACCAACTGGGCCTCTTGCTGTTCACAGGAGAACTGTGCCTCTGACCACTTCACCTGGTCCTGGGGGTCCTGGCCCTGGATTCGGAAACACTGTGGGGCAGAGGGGTAGGTGTGACATCCAGCTCCACCTCCCTGTCCCACAAACCTGGAATCCCCGCTGTGCACCCCTCAGCAGCATGTCCTGAGGAAGTTTGGGGGCCGTGAGAGAACAAGATCTGAGAAGCAGGACATCTGGGTCTCCCTGGCCAAAGCCTCTGGCACTTTACCTGGCACAGTGATTCACACCCACCTGCCCACACACTGGCAAATTTTTATTTTATTTTATTTTTATTTATTTACTTTTGGCAGCTGGCCAGTATGGGGATCTGAACCCTTGACCTTGAAGTTATCAACCCCATGCTCTAACCAACTGAGCTAACTAGCCAGCCCCCTGTAACAGCAGTAGATGGGCCAAGTACTGGGAAAATGGGGACAAGATCTGTCTTGCTTTCTGCTAACACCTTTCTGAGTGTTATCTGAAATCTGCCATCTTGTCCTTTGAACTTACATGATCATCTCTAGGATATTATCTTTAGTTTTGAATGGTCTTTGTTAGGTAACAGCTTCTAACTATGTTATATTTCTCTTTCTCCACCTTCATCACTTCCATAAGGTAAAAAGAACCCTGTGTGGGGCTGGCCTGTGGCTCACTCGGGAGAGTGCGGTGCCGATAACACCAAGGCCACAGGTTCAGATCCCATATAGGGATGGCTGGTTCGCTCACTGGGTGAGCGTGGTGCTGACAGCACCAAGTCAAGGGTTAAGATCCCCTTACCGATCATCTTTAAAAAAAAAAAGAACCCTGTGTGGAAAGTCTTATAAAGTGAAGACTCTTTCTTAGAAAATG